TGTTTTCTGAATAATTGGTCCCATTCTTCAATTGCCCTATTAGGATTTTTTTCTAGTACTCAATCAGAATTTGCCATATTCCTTAAATTAAACTCACAACTTTGTGTTCTGTATTCTAGGATGATAGAAAGACTTAAGCTTCATCTGTGTGGAATTCTTTCAGAGTATTTGAAGATTGTTATTATATCAATTCTGTAAATCATACTTTGATTGATGCAGTTTAACATTGTATTTGCCTTGTTAGCAGCCATATCACTCTGTTGATTCATATTCTGTAAACTACTATCTCAAGTTTTCTCCCACAAGTGCTATTATTAAGTCAAGTTTCCCTATCCTTTATCTCTGCATTTCCTAACAGGTTGCCTTCAGAAGTGGGTGCTTCATCACTGGAGGTTTTTAAGAAGAGACTGGACAATCATTTGTCTGAAATGGCATAGGATCTCCTGCTTAAGCAGGGGTTTGAACTAGGAGATCTCCAAGATCCCTTCCAGCTCTATTCTGATTTATTGATATTTTAAGTTCAAACCTCAGCAACTAATGGTCTGCCCATAGCAAATCTATCTTCTGTGACCACCATATTACTACTCCCTAAGACAACCTGGTCCATATGTGCATTGCTTTTTGTTTTCTAAATGAAGAACTTCACATTTGCCCCAAATATATTTAATTCTGTTACTTTCACCCAATTCTCTATTGAAACTATTTTGAAAGTTGTTTACAATATTGGGTATCCCTTGTGTCATCTTGGATTTGATAAGCATTTGTTCTATCATTTTGACTTTAATAAAAATGTGAGAAGTTATGGCCCAGGAAGGAACTTTGTAGTATTCTGCTCAGTCTCATAGCTTTATAAACCAGATTCCTTATAAACCTTCCTAGAATCTTCTCAAGTACTGATTTCAGAGTGACTCAAGTTCTCCAACTCCTCTCTTTTCCACAATACAGTTAACACTGGGTTTCCTCCAGTCATCAGGTTCTTCATACTTTCTCCAGAATTTCTCAAAAATAATATGCATAAACGTTTTGATCAGGCTATCAGAAACTTCCTTCAGAACCTTAGAATTTAATCCTAGTCCTGGAGTTCACTCAAAGAAAATAGAAATATAGTCAGCAAATACCTATAGCTTTTAAAATTTAATTTTGCTTTATTCTGTTGTTGTTGAACACCTACCCTTCTGTAAAAGAAACCAAAATCAAAGCAGAAATAGAGATTTTTGTTATTTATTAGCATTTTTCCTCATGACTGAGAAACCAATATGATTCTTGTCTCTTAATCTGAACATTTAATTCCTTTGTAAGCCTCAGTTCATTTTAGCTTTGCTGACACCTCTAGAATTCCAGTCCATCTGCCTATACAAGTAGTCCTTGATTAGAGAACAGTTTGAAGTTATGAGGGCTTCAGAAAAAGTGGCTTGCCACTTATCCTCAAAGTTACCACCAACCTCCCCTATGGCCATGTGATCACAATTTGGATGCTTGGCCATCTACTTGCATTTGCAACAGTTGCAGCATCTTGTGGTCATGTGATTGTGATTTGCAACTTTCTGGCTTCTGACAAGCAAAGTCAATGAGGAAGTCAGATTCCTTCAATGACCACGTGATTCACTTAATAACTTTGATAATTTGCCTAATGACAGTGTTAAAAATCATAAATTTGGATCCAGTCACATGATGATTTAATAACTGCATCATGTAGCAACTGAAATTCTGGTCCCAATTGTGGTCGTAAGTCAAAGACTATATTTTCTTGGTGTCTAAACCCCAGGGAACTTTTTTTTTCATATTTCAGATTGTTAGAAGGTGGGTTTTTTTTGTAACTACAGAGTCAAGGTTGACTCAGCCTTCCATCATTCCAAGGTTGGTAAAATGAGGACCCAGATTGTTGGGGGCAATATGTTGATTCTGTAAAACTGCTTAGAGAGGGCTGTAAAGCACTCTGGAGCATTATATAAGTCTAGGTGCTATTGCTATGTTACTGGTCTCCATTTCCCCCTGCTCCCAATTATTTTTTGCAATTGTGTTTTGGGGTTCTCGTTTTTAGGAGAATCATCTTGTGCTTAATTTCCCATTAGTTTTCTCACCTGTGGGAACCTGTTCATAATTACTTTGTGTTTATTCATATGTACTTTCTTGAAATTCAAGATACATGCTTGATTACACTCAGCTTTAATTTCCTTTATAGTTTAGTTTCCCTTTACTTGCCCCAATCCCCTTAAGTTTCCCTTCACTTACTCCTGCTTTTTCTACTTCATCACTTAAATCTTCTGTACTGGTTAATGTTGCATAGCATAGGGGTGAATTATGAATTATGTCTTTTCTGTATCAGTGCCTGCCTTGTGGAACATCATTCCCCTGAAAATCTGGATGTCACCAACTCTTACTAGCCTTTTTAAAGCTCTGAACACCTGTCTTTGTTGCATGTTTATAATTGGAAAGTGTCATTTTCCTAGGGCAGTGAGGATATTCCTGGCAGAACTATTCCTTTGTCTCAGATTTTATGTCAGGATAACTAAAGTCCACAACTACTTCATTCTTTTTTGAACTTACTTTTGGAAGGCACTTCTCTTTGGTTGGGCAGGCGATAAATGAACACCAAAAACTATTGCTTTTATTTGTATTTCTATTTATTTTAACAGTTATGTTAAATTCATTCACTTGGTTTTCTGTACACACCTGAAAACTTTTAATATACAGTACAATCCTCTCTCTTACTATTACTTTTGATCCTTTTGAACAAAATGTTGTAAACATGGATGTCATCCCACCAGATTAGAGTATCTCTTTTTCTACCAAAAAGCTGAAAATCTATGTCTTTTGTATGACTATAAAACCTGTTTCTCACTTCTGGCAGTGCAAAGTAACTTCTGCCTCATTTGCTTATTGTTGTCATTCTTGTACTTTGATCTTGATTGTCTTGTTATGCTAAATTGCTTCTTCTACGTATCAGCCATTACAATTTCCTTTATTGAATTAACAAATCTTTCTCATCAGGTGAGGTGCATTCACTTGCTGCTCTGATCCTTTAAATTTTTTCAAGTGTTTCCTATACAGATAGTCCTTGACTTACAACCATTTGTTTAGTGACTATTTAAAGTTACAATAGCACTGTAAGAAGTGACTTGTGACCAGTTTTCACACTTGCAACCATTGCAGCATTTCCATGGTCATGTGATTCAAATCGGGGGGGGGGTTGGCAACTGGCATGTATTTATGAGAGTTGTACTGTCCAGGGGTCATGTGAACACCATTAATAATCTTCTAGCTGACTTCCAACAAAGTCAGTGGGAGAAGCCAGATTTGCTTAACAATTGCACGATTCACTTAAAAACTGCAGTGATTTGTTTAACAACTGTGGCAAAAAAGGGAGCACAACTCACTTCATAACTATCTTACTTAGCGATGGAAATTTGGGGGTCAATTTGTGGTCATAAGTAGAAGACTACCTGTAATCTCTTTATTCAGCAGAATAAAGGAGATCTCCTTTGAGAAATAGTTACTCAGGAAGGAAATAGTCACTCAGTTCTCTCAACAGGCAGTAGGAAACTTTGAGGACAAATTTTCGAGCAATCAGGAAATGAGCTTGACACTCTTTACAACTGACTACACACTGTCCATCCAATTACAACTTACCTGAACCCTTCCTTCTTTTCCATAACATTACTTTTGTTAAAGTACACTACCAAATCCCTGCTTTCTGTCTCTATTCATCTCCTTTGGCACATTTTGTTGAATCATACTTTTAACTTGTGGTTTGGATTCACTGACCTGCTCACCTGGATGGCAGTTTTTGTCATCCTAACTTTTGTTTTAGTCAAATAAGCTGAAGTTTCAAGTGACTGTGTCCTCAGAAAAATATATTGCACTAGGGTACAGAATGAAAATCCATAATTTTGTTCCATATGTAGAATTGTGTTTAAAGTTCTTCCAAAGCTTGATTTCCTTTTGCACATGCCTATCACATCTATGCCTCTGCAGCACAAGTTCTAGCCTCCAGCAGAGAAGTTATTTGGGATTTTCTTTCCAAATGCTTCCGTTGTAGGAGAAAAATAAGTAAATAGTTTCTGAGCAGCTTTACACATGGGGTCAGTAGATAGCACCTCTGGAGTTTGACTTTCAAATTAGAACCTACACTCCATCATGTTTAGTGGCATTCTAGTGGAAGAATCATTTACACTTCTCTTGTCTCTGTATTTACATAGAAAAGCAGCCCTGCCAAGCCATAATTTGTATAATTTCATATCCAATTCTGTATTTGTGTTATATCAGGAAATGAACACTCATTGTGCTCTGGATTGTAACATAAACAGATTTAAATTGGGGTTGCATTTATTCTATTTGATTATTTCTTTACATTTAATCTTTTTCATTTGCACTGAGGGCTTCCTCAGGACCAACAGGAGAAAACTGCTGTCTGCCGGAGGGGAAAGCATCTAACAATCATGAGCAACATGTCTGATCTGAGGGACACTATTTTCCTTCCTCTACGATTGTAAAACCTGTTCTTGGGGGGGGGGGGAAGTGACCCAAAAGCAAAGAACTCCCAGAACTAAAGGTTTCTTTTTTCTTTTTTACCCCTTCTCCCAGAATAAGCGGCAGTTTAAGCCTTTTGGGGGGGAAATAGAGAAGATTATAAAATTACTTTGGACACACTAAACATTGGAACCCAGACAATATTTTGCTGATAAAATATTTTGTGACTATAAAAAATTAATAAAATATTGAAAAAAAAGATATGGTCTCACCATCATGGCAGCTATACTGGCTGATACTACATATCAGAAACTATTTGTAGTACCATATAGAAACATATTGCCATTCCTCCATGAAAAGGCTGGAGCAAAACCATTGCAGGTAACCATAATTTGAACTATAATAAGAAATGAAGCACTGCAATTAGGGGAAGGAGCAAGGACTCAGAGAATGCAACTATGGGGCATAGCAGTGCAGGCCTTTCTCTTGCTCTGAGATCAGTGTGGGCGGCTGCTGGATTCTGAGGGCTGTTACTGGCAGGGAGGAATATAATCATACAGGTACCCATTGAGTTGGCGTTTGTTGAGGCCGCCATTCAGGATGTCTTGGATGTGCTGCACAATCAAATTGATGGCCACTAGGTAGAGGAAAAAAAGAGGTGATTTGAAGGCTGAAATTGATAGTCAGAAGCAAAATCTTTAAACTCTGAGACTGATGTGTATAGTAATCTAGACTGCTGCAGAGACTGCTATATGTATCTTAGTTGAGCTTTATTACTAAGATTTTGAGAATCTGCGATCAAAGCCATTTTTCCAAATCTTGTCTCTGACACCTCCATTGTTAGTCATGGATGCTAATTAAGGTTCTACAGAGAAACATTGCTGGGCACCGGGTGAAGCCCTGACCCTGGGGGCAGGGGAAGAACTGGTTGGGCACAAATCTAATAGACTTAAGACTATCATCCTGCTTCATTATAGATTAGGGGTGGGCAATGAATTTTCCCAAGGGGCCACATGAGGAACTGGGACTGCTGTGGAGGGCCGAACCAATAGCTTGCAACTGCATTCCACCCACTCGCCTGCAAAGCTGCACTTTGACTGAGCAGTGGTGGGTGGCTGAGCCTGTGTCCCCTCATACAATGATTGCCACCAGCTCAGGCTGCTCCAGGCAAGAAGTGAGCACTGCACAGGCATAGAAAAACACTTTCTCTCCTCACCCTCCCACAACATCCAACTGACTGAAAGAGTACACAGTGACTGCTCAGAGCTGGATCCAACTCAGCTTCTTTCCCCACCCCTGCAGCACGCTTATTTACATTTGGTTTCTGAGTTCTGATTGACTTCATTAAGGCTGGACAGAGACAGGATTGGATGTGCCTGGGGGCCGGCGGGCCATAAAATGCCCAGGCCTGTTATAAATCTATACAATAAAACAGTGGTTCTGAACTCGTGAGGGACCTATCAGTGGTGAGATAAAGTAGTCTTGATTGGCACAAGGTATTTTTAGTGGTTTAAGTTATTAAAATATACCCTAAATTATAGATATGGAAAATAACAATGAACTTAGCAATTTTATTTTTGGAAAAAGTGTACTTTTAGTGGGACCCAGATTTTCTGAAAGGAGGATTGTTGGAACAAGCATGCAAAGAGGGATGTGGGAGATGTGGCAATGGTCAGAGAGGACAACTCACTATGCCCAACGCACTGTAGCCAACTCCCCACAGCCAACCTGCTGCAGGACAACTTACCATGGCCAACTCACTGCAAGGACTACTCGCCACAGGACAATTCAACGCTGTATTAATTGTTTCATTCAGTTACTTTTATTATTGGTGACCACGTTTTCATCAAAATTATTATAACTCTTGTATTTCTGGATTGACTTGATTTTATTATTATTGGTCATGGTTCCATTGAAATTGAAATTTTGTATTTGTTGGATTGTCCTACAGTGAGTTGTCCCATTCTGCAGTGAGGTTGTGCAAGAGATATGTGGCAAGGATTGGAGAATGTGCACAAGGATGCATGGGAGTTGTGGTGAGGGTCTGGAGATGAGAATAATCTTGAGGGATGAGGGGAAGAGATGCAGCCTAGGAAACAAGCAGATAAGGGGGGAGAGCCCCCAATGGCTTAACAATCAGAGGAAGAAACTTAAGAAAGACCTGCCCTAATTGATCAGGCAGTTAAAAGTGGCAATGGGAGATTTGTACCTTCAGACTTGCAAGATTATGTTAATGTAGCTTACAATAAAATAAAATTAGCCCATCTAGTTGTATTTCTATCTGGTTTACTGGAAGGGCTGACAGGATGATGCACAGAGTGCATGAGTGACTCATCAGGGCATGAACATAGACACACTGGGGGAAACTGCAGAGTGGTGGAAGCTTATTCCAGCAACTTGCAATCTTCTCTGCTGGTTTCCCCACTGGCTATCTGGGAAAGCTGGTTGGAAATGGTGATCACGCAACTGTAAGGTGCTGCAACCAGTTGTAAGTGCATTGCCAAGCATCCAGACTGAATGACCCCAGAAGTGCTAGGACAGCCAGAATTCCAAGGATCAATTATAACCATCATTTGTTTGAACAGTCACTGAAGTCAAGGACTACCTGTATTAACTTAAAAAAAATAATTCTGTACTGTATATAATACATTAAAGTGCCATGTCTACTCAGTTCTTTTCTTTTTTTATATATCTAGAGGTTTATTAACGTAGAATGACAGAGACAAATGATTTTCTTATAGAATGCCTCCAATTTTCCATTATCCAACTCTCTATTCACCTTATCCCATACTCACCAAGATTATCCATACCTCTAGAGATAATTACATCAGCATATTTCTTGGTCTGCCAGAAAAGAGAAAATCATGTTAGAGGAACTGTAGAGAGGAAATTTCTCTGGGAGAAGATGGGTTGATTGGTTTCTCCCCTTAAACTGCAAGTGGAGTTAGACATCTCCATTTTTGCACTTTCATTTCTACTAGTGTCCGTGCCAGCCATTATAAGAGCAGATGAAGCAGATGAAGTCCATAAGAGGACTTCAAGAAATACTGCTACTTCTATCTACCAAGTGTTCCACCAGGGTTCTTCTTCTCTAAACCTCCAATTCCCATGCCAGGGAAGGGAAAAACCTTTTACTCACAGGTAAGCAGAATTCTTCAAAATCTGGCTTGACAAATGTAATGTACTGTGATAAGGTCTGCTCTAAATCCCTGACTCGTTTACTGATATCTCGGAGAACTGCAGACAGTAAAGAAATATGAAATAGGTGAATGACAACAGAAAAAAAATAGTGCACAGCTACAGTACATTCACAGTACAGCCTAAACACACTAAGTTTAAGCCCTCATATGACAAGTGAGCTACTATGATGTAATGGTTTAAGTCTTAGACTAGGATTGAAGAGATAAGATTCAGGTTCATGCTCAGCCACAGATATTCACAGAACTGCAGGCCAGATAAAAAGAATTCCGCACATTCTTCTGTTCCCTTTTTAAACTAGTCCCTTTTTGTGCTTCAGTTACCACTTTCGCTCACCCCCTCAAAGCTCTTTCAGTAAGATCTGCTTTATTTTTAATTCTACCAATTAATATATTTACATTGCTGTTTGCTATACCCATGCAAAATCATATTAAAGTCCTTTTTTGTTTTTTAAAAGCAACTTCCATTTCAGAATTTTCCTAACTATACCACCCCTATTAAGATTACCTATATCAAGGACAATGAGGTCAAATAGAAAGAGATCACACAGGTAAAGAAAACTTTCCTGGTGAAAGGAAAGGCATGCCAAGGTTTGACAAGTCAAGGGAGGGGAGGAACAACTGATGTAAGGAACCTTGATTTTATTACTTTGACTCTTCTTTCTGATGAAACAATGGTGCCACCAGCTGGTAATGTGATGGGAGAGGCTAAGAAAGGACCCAATGCTGGGAAGGAGCTCTTCAGCCTGCACAAGCTGAAGAAGTGTTGGTGTTGATGATGCATCAAGCAGTCAGTTTACTCTCCTTCAGTAGCAATTTGAGATTGAAGACAGAGGTCTAGAGGAGAAAGAGCTGTTACTTTCTGAATATGGATTCCCAGCACATGATGCTGGAGGTGGAGGCTAACAAATCATACTCAATGTGTAGTCCTCAATGGAAGTACACCAACATGGAAGGAAGAAGCAGCGGGATACCCCAAGGCTCCATTTTAGGCCCATTATTCTTCAACATCTTCATAAATGATTTAGATGAGGGAATAGAAGGGAACTCATCAAATTTGCAGATGACACTAAACTGGCAGGAATAGCCAACACCCCAGAAGACAAGCTCAGGATCCAAAAGGATCTTGGCAGATTTGAAGATAGACTCACGATCCAGATGGATCTCAACAGACCTGAACACTGGACCCTATCTAACAAAATCAATATAGAGAAAAGTAAGATTTTATACATAGGCAAGAAAAAAAACAAATGTACAGGTACATATTAGGTGAAACCTGGTTCAATAGCAGTAACTTTGAGAGGGATCTCGGAGTCCTAGTGGACAATCACTTAAATATGAGCCAGCAGTGTGCTGCAGCTGCCAAAAAAGCCAACACAGTGCTAGGCTGCTTTAACAGAGGGATAGAATCAAGATCACGTGAAGTATTAATACCACTTTACAATGCCTTAGTCAGGCAACACTTGGAATACTGCATCCAGTTTTGGTCACCACGATGTAAAAAAGATGCTGAGACTCTAGAAAGAGTACAGAGAAGAGCAACTAAGATGATTAGGGGACTGGAGGCTAAAACATATAAGGAACGGTTGCTGGAATTGGGATGTCTAGTTTAACAAAGAGAAGGACAAGGGGGGACATGATAGCAGTGTTCCAATATCTCAGGGGCTGCCACAAAGAAGAGGGAGTCAAGCTATTTTCCAAGGCGCCTGAAGGCAGGACGAGAAGCAACAGGTGGAAACTGATCAAGGAGAGAAGCAACTTAGAACTTAGGAGAAACTTCCTGACAGTTAGAACAATTAACCAATGGAACAACCTGCCTCCAGAAGTGGTGAATGCTCCAACACTGGAAGTTTTTAAGAAGAGACTGGACAGCCATTTGTCTGAAATGGTGTAGGGTTCCTGCCTGAGCAGGGGGTTGGACTCGATGACCTCCAAGGTCCCTTCCAACTTCATTATTATTATTATTATTATTATTATTATTATTATTATTATTATTATTATTATTATTATTATTATTATTATTATTATTATAATTAATAATAATAATAATACCACTTTCTAAGGCTTTAGTAAGACCACACTTAGAATACTGCAATCATATATAAAAAAGATGTAGACTCTGGAAAGAGTGCAGAAAAGAGCATCAAAGATGATTAGTGGGCTGGAGAGTAGAACAGGAATAACAGTAGCAGGAATTGGCTTTGTCTAGTCCAGTGAAAAGAAGAATTATGGGTGACATGATAGCAGTGTTCCAATATTTGAGGGGGTCAACCTATTTTCCAAAGCACCAGAAGAAACGATGGAAACTCATCAAGGAAAGAAGCAACCTAGAACTAAGGAGAAATTTCCTGACAGCACAATTAACCAGTGGAATGGCTTGCCTTCAGAAGTTGGAGTGCTCCATCACTATAGGCTTTTAAGAAAAGACAGGTGCCTAGAACTAAGGAGAAATTTCCTGACAGCACAATTAACCAGTGGAATGGCTTGCCTTCAGAAGTTGGAGTGCTCCATCACTATAGGCTTTTAAGAAAAGACAGGACAGGCACTTGTCTGGAATGGTATTGGGTCTCCTGCTTTAGCAGGGAATTGGACTAGAAGACCTCCAAGGTCCCTTCCAATTATGTTATTCTGTATTTCTGTAATGATGGCATAGCTGCTTGATATAGCTCAAAGCAGATTAATCACACTGCTGTCTGAGCATATTGCTGACTAAACAATTATATTTCAATCATCAGGGCAGTAGCCACAGCAAACAAAGGACACATTTTGTTGACATCAGCTGTCTTGCTTACACAGATATCTTTTCTGCACTTGAGCCATTATTCTTAATAACAAAACTCAGAAGCACAAAATTGGCCATTCTGAGCATAATTCTTTTCTTAGAAAAGAAACCACCCATTAACTATAAGCTGAACTTTATTTGAATAGGGTACAGAGAATGAGGTGGCTGGATGGAGTCACTGAAGCAATAGGAGTGAGCTTAAATGGACTCCAGAAGATGGTAGAGGACAGGAAGACCTGGAGGAACATTGTCCATGGGGTCATGATGGGTCGGACACGACTTCGCAACTAACAACCATAACAACAACAACAACAACAACAACAACTGTATACTGCCCTTAAGAAGAAAAGCAAATGAAATGTTGGAAATAATATTAAACACTGTGTTTGAAAGCATGCATATGCACTACTATTTCCTCCCCCCATTTTTCCTTTTCTGATATTTTCTATTTTATCCCTCATTGAAACTTAATAAAGTTGAATTTAGGCCTTTTATGCCTAAATTTGCACAAAAGTGATGAAAATGCAAGAAATACTATCTGTTGATTTGGTTGGGTGTATTTTTTTATGTCCATGTATGCAGATTTCCGTTGAGATTCAAAAAAGCTATGCAGTTAGGTTCTTCAAATGCTCAAACACTCTTCAAAACTCCACAATCAAAAAGATCAATCAGCATCAAGAATTCATCTACGCACCAAAATTCATTATGACATAATCAACATGATTTAGCTAATAGTATCTTTTCCCAAAAAGTTCAAAAGCCAGCTTTTTTGGTTGTTGTTCTGATTGGCTGTTTTGGAGTTTCTGAATCTGAACACATCCAAAAAGCAAAAAATAATTCTTGATTGGTTGGTTCTTGGAATTTTTGACTTTCTTAATCAAATGCATTCACAGAATCATAGGGCTAGAAGGGAGCTTGGAGGTCTTCTAGTCCAACCCCCCTTTTAAAGTAGGATTTATACCATCCCCAAACCTCCAGGAAAGATTGGACAACTATTTTCCCAGGATGGTATAAGGTCTCCTGCCTTTGGTAGGGGGTTAAACTAGAAGGCCCCAAGGTCATCTTTGCATTGTATTCAGTGTTCCCTTGAGTCTTTTTGTTTATGCAAACTTCAGAATGCATTTAAAAATGCAGAGCAACTCTGTACTGGTTGACCTGCTAAACCTGGGTGTGAGCAGTCTGTGCATGCTCTTGGTTCTTGATATTGTTTATTCAAGATACCTATGCTATAAGACTGTAATCTGCAAAGATGCTCTGAAAACTCCACAATCTGCAGACAAGAGTCACATGCATACCTTAATTCAGCAAAACATCTTTTTCTCTACTGAAATAATTATGCTTGACTTAAACATGCAAAAGGCTCTATGCTGATTGTTATGCTAAACTTAAGTATATATGAACACTCTGTGCATGGCCTTGTTTATCACCTGCTGCAGTCAATAGTGCATTCTATACCTTTCTCTGCTGCTTAAGCTTCAGCCAATTTTTTTGCCACCCAAAAGTATTATTATGAATATTACTATTTATCATAGGAAAACACCTGAAACAACTTCATATTTTATTTTTGATTTTATTTCAGCAAAACTGTGCCAGACTTGAAATGGATCAACAGAAATTCAGGAATGCAGAATTCTAAATCTGAAACAAAACACATTTCCAAATGTTCCTGTGAATTAAAAGTTGTCTCAAGAATACTCATTTGTGTTGATTTCTCTGGATACACCTGCAGTTCTCACATAACCAATGAGAAGTATTGCCCAGTAGATGTATACTCAATTGATCTTGTGCTAATGCTATAAAGAGAGGGTCATCCTACAACTTACCCCTATGGGAGAGCCGAGTGTCTGGATCTATGTCCACAAACAGTTTCATTTGGAAAAGATCCCGAATTTCCTCATTATAGAAGGCTAGGATGCCCTCAAATAGTACCACATCAGCAGGATACACACGTACTGTTTCTTCTTTGCTATAGACATACACAAAAAGATTCTAATATGATTCAAAAACAAAACAACCAATTCTCTTCAAAACAAGCAGCACTCTTCAACATTTTCATAAATGATCTAGATGAGGGGATAATCTAAAAAAGAGAAGCACTAGGAGTGATATGACAGCAGTCTTTCAGTACTTGAGGGGTTGCCACAGAGAAGAGGGGATTCACCTATTCTCCAGAGCACCTGAGGGCAGGATAAGAAGTAACAGATGGAAGATCATTAACCTAGAACTAAGAAGAAATTTCCTGACAGTGGAAATTTACTTATTTATTATGGTTATCCCACCTTTATTATTTTTACAAATAACTCAAGGCAGCAAATATATCCAACCTACCTTCCTTCTCCTATTTTTCCCACAACAACAACTCTGTGAGGCAAGTTGGCCTAAGAGAATGTGACTCACCTGGCTTTCATGGCTAAGACAGAACTAGAACTCATAGTCTCCAGTTTTCTAGCCTAGTACCTTAACGACTAGACGAACAGGCCAAACAGTGGAATGGCTTGCCTCCAGAAACTGGAAGTTTTCACTGGAGGTTTTCAAGAAGAGATTGGACAACAATTACATCTGGAATAGTATAAGGTCTCCTGCTTGAGAAGAGGGTTCGGCTAGAACAGGGGTCTTCAAACTTGGCCCTTTTATGACTTGTGGACTTCAACTCCCAGAATTCCTCAGCCAGCATGCCTGGGCTAGAAGGTCTCTTCCAATCATATTAATCTATGCTCTGTATTGTAATAGAAAGAGTAATTTTGCTTTCAAGCAGCACTGGGTGAGTGAGCGAAGGAGAAAACGGGAATTTGATAAGAGAGCTCAATAAGGGAATTTTAAAGGTCTGCATCCTAACTTTGTGATTTACACCCATGACACCCAGTTGTAAAGCCCAAGATGGAATCCTGCCTTTTATTTTCTCACCTGCTGGGAAAACAGTAACCAAAGCTTTGCTGCTCCTCTTACTGTATTGGGTCCTTAGCTCCTGCCTATTATTTGGGAATATAGTATGCCAACTCCCATTTAAATACCTGCTGGCTGGAATATGACCTTTAGGCTCCCACTTCACCTCCAGCCACCTGTCTCAGCCCATTCACAGCCAGATTTCCTCCTCTGCTGTCCCTCCCTCGGCCATTCTGGGCAATAGGCCCCTGGCCCTTCAGCCTGGCCCATTCACCCAGACAGTTTGTCCCAGGAGTTTCGCTCCACAGGTCAAGAAGCCGCCAGACAATCAGGTGGCAGGTGGCAGGTGGCAATGATGGCGGGAGAGCGAGGGGGCTGTGAGGGGGATGCAATTGGTGATAGGTTATGAGAGAGAGCAAGATCTGGGAGGGGAAATGGCAAGAAAACCCTGCTTGCGCGTGGCTGCTGGATGTGCCTGGGGGGTGGAACGGTGCCAGCACACGGGGTGACAGCCGAACTGCCTGTTCGGTTTTAGGCTGAAGTCCAGGCGCAGAGGCAATGGCAGCGGAGAGAGGTCAAAATTGGAAGCCCCTGTCCACTGCTGCCTGCTCATTGTCCATGGCAGTTTCCCATTTTCACCCGCCTCCCCATTGCCTCCGCACCTGGACTCTGGCCTGATGCTGAATGGGTAGTTTGGCTGCCCCTCCCACTGGGCATCAGCATCGTTCGACCCCCCCCCAGGCACCCCCAACAGCTGCGCTTACCATCAATGCCCTGCCGCTCCTCCAGCAGCCCCAGCAGCAGTGTGCAAGCATTTGGCTGCCGTCCTCCCAGGCATCCCCAGAAGCAGCACGCAAGCAGCGTTTGTCTGCTGCCTGCCCCCAGCAGAACTTGCTCTCTCCCATAACCTGTCACCAATCGCATCCCCTCACAGCCCCCTCATTCTCCCTTCCCAGGTCCATTGTTGCCTCCTGCCACCCAATTGGCTGGTGGCTTCTTGTCCCATGGACTGAAACACCTGGGACAAACGGTGTCTGGACAAATGAGCCAGGCCGAAGGACGAGGGGCAAAGGGATAGTGGCCCATTGCTCAGGGAGAATGTCCAGGGGAGGGTCAGCAGAGGAGGAAAGCTGGCTGTGAATGGGCTAAGGTGAGTGGTTGGAGGCAAAGAGGCCAATGGTGAGAACCTAAAAGTCCCAGACAACTGAGAGCAACCCTCCAGATAACAGAATAATAAGAGTTGGAAGGGACCTTGGAGGTTTTCTAGACCAACTTCAAGCAGGAGACCCTCTACTACTCTGGACAAATGGCTGTCCAATCTCTTCTTAAAAACCTCCAGTGATGGAGCACCTGCAACATTTGGAGGCAAGCCATTCTACTGATTAATTGTTCTCTATCAGGAAATTTCTCCTTAGTTCTAAGTTGGATCTCTCCTCAATAGGTTTCTATACATTACTGCTTGTCCTGCCTTCTGGTGCTTTGGCGAATAGGTTGACCCCTCTTCTTTGTAATAGCCCCTCAAATATTGATATTGATATCTTAGTATCAACCTGATGCAGCCTAGAACAGCACTGGCTTTTTTGGCAGCTGCAGCACACTGCTGGCTATTTTTGAGCCAAATTTCACCTAATCTGTACTTGTACATTTGGTTTCTCTTGCCTAAGTGTAAAACCTTACTTTTCTCTACATTAAATTTCAGTTTGTTAAATAGGGCCCAGCGTTCAAGTCTGTCAAGATCCATTTGGATCCTGAAACTATCTTCTGGTGTGTTGCTTATTCCTGCTGCCACCTTGATATCATCTGATGGGTTCCCCTTCTATCACCTCACTTATGAAGATATTGAAGAGTACTGGGCCTCAGGTAACTGGTCTGTATTTTCCTGAATCCATTTTTCTTCTTGTTTTGAAGATGGGAACATCAGCTCTCTTGACTTTTGATTTTATGGTGTGTTTTTTTACTTTTGACTTTTTTTGATCATTGACTCTACTCCATAAGTCTACTCCATAACCTCTTCCAGCTGCCACACCTGCCAGACTTGCACTATCTCCCACCCCAATAACTCACTTACAGAATGGTTGATGGAAATGCAGTCAGGGGTACAGCAGTTCATTATTTTGCTACCTCCTACCAGATTTTCTATTTACTTAGTTTGCAGAAGTCATCTTGAAAGATTGCAAATGGCAATCACATGACTGCAGGATACTGTGACCTTTGTAAAGCTGTAGATATATAGATAATCTTTATTGTCATTTTTTACTGTGGGCAGAATGGCACATATTAAAAATAAAATTTAGTTGTTTGCTTTCAAAGTGTACACGTACATAACACACATTTAAACATATTGTATACAACATATGTGTAGACCTATAATATCCTTACATATAAGTAACATATATATTAATCACTGTCCATCTTGAATACATAACGGAAGGAGAAAGCTTTACAGTTCACAAGGTTAATACTGTACAAAATTGTGACTGAATCTGGATGTTCAGCTTAGGATACCACGGAGCCTCCTCCCAGAAGGTAACAAGGAAAACAGGTCATGAAGAGGATGTGTAGTGTCCCAGATAATCTTATGGACCCTGCTCAAGCAATGCTTCTGTGCTATGTCCTGGATGGGAGGGAGGGAACTGCCAATAATCTTTTCAGCCATCCTCACCACTCTCTGCACCACCTTCTTGTCTGAAGCAGTGATGCTTCTAAACCAGACTGTGATGCTGTATGACAGGATGCTCTCGATCATCCCTCTGTAGAAAGTGGTAATGATAGGGGAAGGAAGATGTACTTTTCTCATGCGACGCAGAAAATGCAGGTGCTGCTGTGCCCGCTTCATCAGTGTCTCGCTGTTGAGCGACCAAGCCAGCCTACTTTTTAACTGCATATTTGTGATGGTTGCCAAGCACCCAAATCTTGTGGCTGTTGGGACGCTACAACAGCCATAACTTCAGTGCTATCATTTGGTTGCTAAAAAAATGGCCATTAAGCAAGAACCATACACATTGGGTCCCATTCCCAAAGTTCCAAAAGATAATGACAAACTGAAGCAAATTCAGAGGAAGATTATCAAGAAAGCAAAAGGCCTGGAAAATTAAACCTATGAGGAATGGCTAAAAATGTTGGTGTTTAACCCAGGGAAAATAATTAAGGGGAGGTAAATATTTTAAAGAGATATGTCAGGTTCCCAAAACCTCTGTGCTTCCCTTGCATATATATTCTACTTTTGGGGCCTGCCATTCTGCTGGGGGGAGGGGGAGCTTGGGATAACTTTCACTTTCTACTTTCCTTCTCCTGCCTCTATCCTTGAGAAAGGAATGCGTCTCCCTTATCAGGGAGACGGTTACAGAGAAACGAAATCTCAAGAAGAACTTGATATGCGCGTCAACTGTGCCAGTTATCCGCACATCATACCATCTGTGGATTGGCTGAATTTCAAATGGACATTATGACTTTGGTGGGAGGAGGAATATTGCTTGCTTAACTATACCCTTTGTGCAGGATTTCCCCCAGATCTCGACTTAACTTCCCTACTGTCACTGACCCCTAATAAAAGTATCCTTTTGAGACAATGCCTGTTTCAAGAGTTCTGCTTTCTTGGGTGGTTAGTTGAAGTGGGTCCTTACAAGATGTCATACAGAAGAGAAAGTGGACTAATTTAATATTGCCCCCAAAGGTAAGATCAGAATCAATCAGTTAACATTTTAAGAAAGTAAATTCATTAGTTATCAGGAAAAATTTCCTGACTCAACTAGCCATCAGCCATTGGAAAAGCTGCCATATAAATTGTCAAGTCTTCCTTCACTGGAGGTCTTCAGACAGAGGCCGGATGAGATACATTGATGGATACTCACAGAGTATCCATACGTAACGACCATTCATTAACTATTCAAAATTATGACAGTGCTGAACAAAGGCACTTATAACTGATGCTCGAAATTATGGCTGCTAAAGTCCACACACACCCCATAGTTATGTGATTTCAATCTGGA